AAATAAATATATATATATATATAAATATAAAATATAATATAATATACTATAATATAATATAATATAATATAATATAATATAATATAATATAATAGAATAGAATAGAATAGAATAGAATATAATATAATATAATATGATATAATATAATATAATATAATAGAGGAACGCAGTAGAAGGAACAAACGAGGAAGCCCGCAGTGCTGTGCGAAGGATTCTGCAAGTTTTTATCAATTAGGTCGGGAAGTATTTTTGTTGCGTCAAAGTCCGCAGTTGGTGCTCCGCGTAATTAATCAAGAAATGCCATGGGCTATCATGTATTGGGATTCTGCAGATCTCTGCTCAGGTCTTCCATGTGGACCAGGCGGGGCAGTGGAGCGTGAGTTTCAAGATCACGGCTATCTATCTATCTGCCCACCTGTCTGTCTATCTATCTATCTATCTATCTGCCTATCTATCTACCTATCTATCTATCTATATATATATATATGCCTACCTATCCCTGGATCTGTGTATATCAATCTATCTATCTTTCTGTCTGTCTACATCGCTCAGTTCGCTCAGTTCGGGCGTAGGTTCCGTTCGCTGTTGCGGCCTATTGGCTGCAAGACTCACAAAACTAATTAAGGAAAGTGAAGCAGTCGGTCCTGGGAGGGCCGCCCAATGGTCCACCTCGATTTCGGTCTCCTCCAGTGCGGTGGCACCCTGCATCACTATTTGCCACACCCTCTCTGCAACTTCGCGCCCCTCTGTTGTCGTGGAGATGACTTCCTGGTCCAGTCTCTGCATGTCCCGCTCGTATGCCTGGCGGTTGCGAAGGAATTTGGCACGAGTATCCGCCGCATACTTGTCCTATTGCTGTGTCTTTTGCTTCTTGTCCTCCTCCAATTTCCTTACTTTCGCATCCATCTTCCTGGCGTGGCATTCTGCAACTCTTGCATCACACGCATATTCTGTGTCTGTGGCTGGGCACCAGCCTGGGGCGCTGGGTAATTCCCAGCTGTGCCACCTCCACCTCGTCGTACGGTTCCACGCGTTGTTGTTGCCTGGGCGACCAAGTACCCGGCCACCACGGCCAGCAGTCGGCGTCCTGCTGCTCGGCCTTCCCTCCGCGTTGTTTCCATGCCGTCTTACCGCCCATAAGCTTCGAGGTACTGGATCTCAAGCTGTCGTTGGAAGCGTGGTGCCTCGCCGCAGGGCACCACGCTCTTTCGGCAGCAGGGCATTAGCCGCCTCTAACCAGGGCCTTGGAATGTGAGTGGTTTTCTCGGGTCTTCTCGAGCCCTTCTGTCTACATATATAATCATATATTAATATATAGATATATATATATGTATGTATGTATGTATGTATGTATGTATGTATGTATGTATGTGTTCCTAAATGAACTAAGATGGATGGAGATCATCATTTTTCCGGGGCTTCAACAACCTCTTGAGGACGTGGACATGGACACGCAGGAGATGCAGGAAGCATCACAGGCATGGCGGGGGAAGAGCCGGGTTGGAGAATGGTTGCCTACTGTCGCAGCAGAGCTGCAGGCGCAGACGCACCAAAGCTCGGATATCGGAGATGTCAACCAAGATGGAAAGGCCGTAAGCTTCGACGACGGTCAGATTGAGGAGTGCGGTAAGCTTGCAGAGATAGGGGTGTGAGCTTGCAAGACAAGGATTGGTGGCTGTCGCTTGTAGTGAGAGCATCCTTGGAACGTGCCCAATCAGCATGATGTGAGGAGCCCGAAGAGGTGGCAAGCAAGCAGGGCAGAGTCAGGTGCTCAGGTGTCGCGGCTGTCAGCGAGATTCGTCCAGCAGCCACAGCTGCCTTTAGTGAGTTCTTAAACTGGGAGACAACCGCCTGGCAGGGTGTGGCCCGAAAGGGCACGGGGTTCCTGCATGCAGAAGATGTGCAAAACCTCGTCGGGGAGGAGGACGAAGAAGAAGAGGCCGCTCTTGACGTCAACTTCGTCTGACTGCCGTGAACTGGACTGCAAATTCAGGCCGGCAGCGAAGAACGACGACCTGTGTCTTTTGCCATACCTGACAAGGTTCGCGTGCCTACAAGTCTTGCTGATGTGTAGCTTGGTTATGAAATATGCTGTGATTTCGAGTCGATTGCCAAGAGCTCGAAGCAAGTCCTTGGATGCCGCTGTTGTGCTGTTTGGCGTGTGGCGGATGAGGTGGTGGTGGTGGTGGTGGTGGTGGTGGCGGCGGCGGCGGGGGAAAATTTGGGGGCGGGGGCGGCGGCGGCGGCGGAGGCTGTGTGGTGGTGGTGGTGGTGGTGAGGAGGAGGAATAGGAGGCGGAGGAGGAGGAGGTGGTGGTGGTGGTGGTGCGGCGGTGCCGGCGAAGGTGGTGGTGGCAGTGAGGGTGGCGGCAGTGGCCGTGGTATTTGGACCAGGAATGGCAAGGCAACAGAAGCGAAGTGCTGCAGGTTTGCGAAAGAGCACTGTGTTTTTGCGTGAGTTTGGGTGGGTGTGCGGCTGTTGAGGAAAATTGCTTTGGGTGCAGCACAGAGTATAGCAGCAGGTGCAACTACAGTAGTGTTGCTGTGACTGCGACTTTCGCTGGTACTCTTGCCGTTGCTTGTCTTCTCCTCAGTGCCATGAAGATCTTGGCTTTGCCTTGTCCTCGGTTCATCCCTGCGCAACAGTCTTCTTCCTCGAAACTTTGCACGATGCTAACTGAACATTCCTTTGTACACAGCATCAGGAGGCTGGAGAAAGGGAAAGTGAAAGTGGGCCAGTGGTGTTCGGCTTGGTGTGTTGAATTCAGGCTGCTGCCAGAGCCAAGGGCTGAGACTGTGAGAAGTCAGCAAGGTTCGCAAGGGCACGGGCTTCGTGAGTGCGGCCGNNGCGTCGGGACGCGGGAGGCAGAGAGGTCGGCGAGCGGTATGAGCGCACGCGAACTGCAGGAGGAGGAGCCTGACTCCCAAAGGCATGTGGCCTTCGATCCCTCATCGCAGGCAAGTGGGGGTGGTCGGGTGTTCCGGAACTGGGCCTGTCCCTCCTGCTGTTCTGTCAGGCTGGCACAGATGCTGGGCCAGCAGCCGCACACCGAGCCTTGTGCGATTTGTAGGTCAACAACTTCAACAACATGTGGGAGGTTTTGCGCCGAAAGATGAACATAGCCCGCATGCCGAAGCCGCCATGGTTCGGGCGAAGCCGAGGTGCGGCGCGGCACTGGTTTCGTCGGCGTAGCAGAGTTGCCTTCGGATGATGAGGAGGCCGCGCAAAGTCCAAAGAATGCTGCAAGCCAGAGCACAGCCATTCGGCCGAGTTTTGCCTCCAGGACGACGAGCCCGCAGGACACCGCGTGGCCTTTGACCCCGGCACACAGGACGGGCACGCAGCTTGCAGATTCTTCGACAGATTGCTTTCAGGCGAGGTCAGGGCATCAGACGAAGCCGCATGACCCGGCAGGAGGGCAGCGGTGGGCTTGTGGCGCTGGCCTCGGTGTGTGCGAGCCAGCTGTCGTGCAGCGTGCACAGAATGCAGAGCGAGGCTCGCGTGAAAACGGGGGCTGTCACGACACGCATGGAGGCCTGCCGCATCCTGCCGCCTTGAAAAGAAGGATGTGAAACAGCCATGGCTTGCGTGGTCAGGGGCCCGACTCACCAAAGGCCACGTGGCTGTTTGGGCCTGCTTTAATTGCCATTCGCAGCTTCTGCCATAGCATTCAGACGGGCTCGTCCGTCGTGTTTCAATGTGGCTCAGTCTCCCTGGCTCTGCACTCAAAACCTCTGCAGCGCAGGGCCACGGACGTCTCCAGGCGCCTGCGGATCAGCTTCTCGTAGCAGTGGGAGAGCAGTCGGAGAGCAGTCGGAGGTCAACAAGCAGAAGACCAGTCGCTTGGCATCGGGTGACCTGGCGCAGCTCTCCTCCGACGAAGAGGCGCTTTTTGTGCGAGAAAGGGGCCTTGACTTCGCTGCCGAGGACACCTTTGTCCTGCTTTTGATTTAGGGAAAGGGTGCGAGATGACACGAGATACGCGAGCACGAGAGCTTAGGCCCCACGTGTTGCACCCGTGACCAGAGGTGGATGCGACCGGTGAGCCCTCGCCAGCCGGCAGTCGCGAGGCCGGAAAGCTTTGCCTTGACAGTGGTAAACGGTTCTTAAAGACATTGTCATGATTGTCATGAGCAAAAGGCTCCGCAAGTGGCTGAGAGCCAGCTGGCAAAGGTGTCTTTCGACCCAGCAGAGGCAAGCTGGCAGTGTTGGCTGTGATGAGTCATGGTCTTGTCCTATCGTGGTGAGGATGAGAAGCCAGAGATCCCAAAGACCGGCACGAAGGTGCTACTACTGATGAGATCTGCATGCAGCTATGACTACGACTCGCTTGTGATAGGACTTGTGTTACTCGATGTCGTGCTTTGATTGCCACATCTTGCCACCACTTCTCTTTGAAGGTCACCAGTCGCAAGGGCACCGGCTTCTTGCGCAAGGAGGATCTACAGGACCTGCCTTCCGATGAGGAGGAGGAAGCTGACGAGGCCGGATGTCGAGGTCAGGCCCGAAACGGCCCTGGCACATACAGACATGCGAAGGCTCTCTGACCCATTTGATCCTTGCATCGTGGTGTCGTGCGATGGCTGCGGACATTTATCTATTTGTTTGACCTGTAAAGACTTGATTTCGGGCCGGTAGGGTTTGCACGTCCTGGCATGAAGTCTGAAGGGTGGGTTAGAAAGCTGCAGGCTCAGCAGATGGCTCACGGAGACAAAGCAGTAAGCTTCGAGGCAGGAAGTCAGATTCAGGAGCGAACGCAGCAGTGGCCAGCTTGTAAGGTCGCGAATATTTCAGATCTGCCATCCACGTGCGAGGAGTCCGAAGATCAAGCACGTCGTGTCAGGTGCTGAGGCTTTGGAGCTGGACTTTTGTTTTGTTCGGGCTGCTTGGATTTTCTCATGTGTGCGTCTCTTTCTCTGTCCTTGGCCTTGAGCACGAGGTCGTGGCTCGAAAGGGAACTGGGTTTTTGCATGCCGGAGATGTGGAGAACTTGGTGGATGAGGAGGAGGAGGAAGAGGAGGAGGCACGGAGTGCTCGAAGACAATGGCAAGCCTCTGTGCGTTGTACTCCCTGCTTCGAGCATTGAATGCCACTTTAGGCAGCTCGACACTAGATACTGTAGCTAGTCGACCCCTTCATTTATTTGCGATAAACGTCTGCATTCGATCGTTTCTGTATCAGACCGTTTGGTGCTCTTCCCTATCCTAACCGGACAAGTCGCGTACTGCCGAATCCTAGTACCACTTTCTCTTGACTTGGCCTAGGAGGACGGACGGAGAAAGGTTGGCTTCGAAGAGCCGGCAGAGCAGGCATACACCGTGGTAGCAAGCGAACTGAGAGAACTTCCGCAGTACACGCTCCCACATGGTAGCTAAGCGAGCTTTCATCGGACACGTGCATGGCGTCAGATATTTGCTTTAGCGGCCGTGCGGTAAAGAGGCTCAAAGAGAACGAGAGGGAAAGCCCGTGGCATTTGCCCCAGTCTCCGTGCTGTGGTCGAGGAGGATATTCTTTCGCGGGTGAAACAGACTCGTAAGGCTCGCAAGGGCACCGGCTTCGTGAATGTGGGCGATCTTCCATCGGATGACGAGGATCGAGACACGACTTGGAGTGAAGACAGTTCATAGAGTGTCTGTCTTGTGGCAGGAGGAAGATGGTGCGCGGAAACATGTGGTCTTCGATCCCTCGACGCAGGCGCGAAAGCAGCCTGCGGTAGATATCGTATGTTGCAGAGGGAGGAGAAGTTGGGGGAGGTCGTGTGTTGTGTGCCTGATGCCGACAGGCCGGCACAGATGCAGGGCCGGCAGCAGCTTGCTTAGATTCGCGTGCCGGTGCTGGGCTTTTGGGTTTTGGCCAGAGGCATTAAGGGCCCACCCAAGATTCCAAAAGGCAAGCGCAGAGTGTTTTAGATCCGTACCCGAGGGGGGAAGGAATGGAGTGTTCCACACAATTCCACAGACCAAGCTCCGATCCTTGCTGCTTGGATCTTGACGCGATTTCCTATGGCGGAAAGCCGGAGTAGAAGATGCTTCTGAGGTAAAAGTTCCGGCTGCGCCTGACTCATGCCCAGACCAGGTTCGCAGGGGCACGGGCTTCGTGAGTGCGGCCGACCTACCCTCGGACGAGGAGCGTCGGGACGCGGGAGGCAGAGAGGTCGGCGAGCGGTGTGAGCGCACGCGAGCTGCAGGAGGAGGAGCCTGACTCCAAAAGGCATGTGGCCTTCGATCCCTCATCGCAGGCAAGTGGGGGTGGTCGGGGTGTTCCGGAACTGGGCCTGTCCCTCCTGCTGTTCTGTCAGGCTGGCACAGATGCTGGGCCAGCAGCCGCACACCGAGCCTTGTGCGATTTGTAGGTCAACAACTTCAACAACATGTGGGAGGTTTTGCGCCGAAAGATGAACATAGCCCGCATGCCGAAGCCGCCATGGTTCGGGCGAAGCCGAGGTGCGGCGCGGCACTGGTTTCGTCGGCGTAGCAGAGTTGCCTTCGGATGATGAGGAGGCCGCGCAAAGTCCAAAGAATGCTGCAAGCCAGAGCACAGCCATTCGGCCGAGTTTTGCCTCCAGGACGACGAGCCTGCAGGACATCGTGTGGCCTTTGACCCCGGCACACAGGACAACTGCTTTTTGAGGGTGCTTCGTCCGACACACTTTCTAGCGCAGCGAACTTTCCTACAGAAATGCTGACCGAAGGCCTCGGGACCTAGAATCGAGAGCCCACACACATCCTCGACAAGAGCTATAATTCGATTTGTACCCGGCGTACCCATGAAGACATCATGCTGCTTCATGCTCCAATACCCATGGGCCTCTGCTCGCAGATGGCATTGCCAGGGTTCTAATGCGGTTGCTCAAAGCCCATTCGTTGGGTGGGGTCGTGGAGCTTCAATGCTCGGGACGATTGTTTGAGCCCCATTGCCGGAGACTTGTCCTGAGGAACACGTATTTTTGTTGCGGCCTGCCCCCTGTCGCCATGAAGCGTGTCGATAATTCGACCGCAGCTGTTCTGAAGCCGAAGTGAATCCACGCTCGAGCAAGCCCGAACGCCCGAGTCCGAGTGCGCTTGAGCACACCCGAGTACCCTCGAGCGCCCGAGTACCTCGTAATGGAATGTACAATGTAATATAATGTAATTTAATTAATGTAATATAATGTAATATAATGTAATATAATGTAATATAATGTAATATAATGTAATATAATGTAATATAATGTAATATAATGTAATACTATGTAATATAATGTGATATAATGCAAAACAATGTAGTATAATGTGTTATAATGTAATCTCATGTGATCTAGTGAATCTAGTGTAATATATTGTAATATAATGTAATATTAACAATATGCACATATATATATATACGTGTGTATGTTAAAATAAGTAAATAAGTAAATAGATAGATAGGTACATGCATACACACACACATATATATGTATATATATATATATCATACATACATACATACATACATACATACCTACCTACCTACCTACCTACCTACCTACCTACCTACCTACCTACCATCCATCCATCCATCCATGCATGCATGCATGCATGCATGCATGCATGCATGCATACATACATACATAGATACACACACACATGCATGCATGCATGCATATGCATATGCATATACATATACATATACATATACATATACATATACATATACATATACATATACATATACATATACATATACATATACAAAAAATATACGCGTACGTATACATATACATATACATACACATACACATACACAAACACATACACATGCACAAACACAAACACAAACACATACACACCTACCTACCTACCTACCTGCCTGCCTGCCTGCCTGCCTGCCAGCCTGCCTGCCTGCCTGCCTGCCTACATACATACATACATACATACATACATACATACATGGGGGCTTGGGGTTGGGTGATCAGTCTGCGCCACTGTTGCAGGTGTGCAGGTCTTCCACCTCACGAAGTCCTTGCCCGTAAAGCCCTACGGCCAGAGCGGGCCAAAATTATTGACGCGCAACACGAC